GTTGTAGCTTTTTGTTTATATTTTGTGACATTAAAATCACGCTGGTGACTGCTCCTTCCTGTTTTTGTTTGTTTTTGTCTACATCTCAGTTTGTATAACATCCAAGATGGTCAGTCAGCTGTATCATTGAAGTAAATTGTTAGTATGCCTTGTGATTATTTATATTCTATTGCACTATATGTTTTTTTTTTTTTTTTAAAGCAACAATTTATGTTCAAAAATGTTAAGTGAAGTCTCTGGAAATTGTTCAATTGAAGCTCATTGGGGTTTCAGTTAAGCCTTTCATGCTGACAGTATGATACAGCACGTTGGGAAGCTTTTCACTGGACAGTCTGGCCTCAGCAGCGAGATGAGTCTCTGTAACTACAAGGAAATAAAAGCTCATCTATCCATCGCTGATTGAATTGACAAAAAGTCAAATGTGGAGTGCAGTAATCTGTAATCCTAAAGACCACACAGCAGGTCATGTGCTGCATAACACATCTGCCACAGTGCAGAGCAAGAAACACACAGGGAGCTGATGTTGACCTTTAGCGTGACTCCGCCTACATGCAGCACTGTTGGGTAACAACACTGTGATTCAAAACACTGAGGAAATGTTGCTCGTGCACAGGACGGGCATGTAGAAAGCCAACACACACACACAAAAACATCTCCTCCTCAATCCATATAGAGTTCAAGGCTAAAAGCAGGAAAAATTGTGAAGTCAGGTCTTAAGATTTTATTTAAACCGAGGGTTTATACGTAGAACATCATTTAAAAGGTGAGTGATTTTTTTTGTTTTGTTTTGTTTTGTCTTTTTTTTCCACTCAAAATGAGGTCAAAAAGCTAGCCGACTATATCCCACAGCTTGTATAACAAGACTTCCAAAGTCATAGATGCTTTTATCTGCAAGATAAAACTGAAGGGTTTCCCTTTGAGTTTTGTTCATGTCAGGAGAGAAAAGCCTTTGAAATGACATCAAGACTAATGGGACTAAAACTAATTCATGCACGCACCATCACATTAGAATGTATCCTGGGAATACCACAGTATTAATACATAGGTCAATGGATTTGTTAACAGAGTGTGTGTGTGTTTATACGTGATAAGGATTTGTGTACATAATCCCAGCAATCTTAATAAGGAACTGGATTAATTTTACTTAAGAATTTCAACCATTAAAGTCACCCTGAACCCGCCAGCTCAAGTCAGATTGCAACTGGGTACCAGCTGGTCATACTGTCACTCCATTATACATGGCAGCTCTAAATGTGTGTGTATGTATTGGCCACATCTACAAGAATGGGCTTAGCTGATGAAGCAGACATGGTTTGCCAGGGGCAGTGTCTGTAATCACACACAATAGAAATATTTTGTCTCATTCTCTGTCCATCCGTCTTTTCCTCTTGAGTGTCCTCTCACCATTTACAGCCCAGCCTAGAAATAACAATACTAGGTGACTGTGGAGGCCATTAATATGCCCAATGCCAACATTCAGAAACGGTGAAGGAAGCAGTGTAGCACCATGGAAGTGAAGGATGTAAAGGTTGGGATGTTGAATGTGGGCTTTTTTTTTTTGGTAAAATCAAGATATGCTTTATTTCATAAGTGTCATCTGTTTTCTTGAGACCTGACAAGCGTGTCCAATAGGTTTTCTCCTCCATATAACATATTTGCAAAGTAAGATTTTGTAATATTTTTCATTCTGTGTGGTTTATGCCCATTTTCTAGCTTGCATACACTGCTACATTTTGTGTGTGTGTGTTACTGCCCCTTGATGCTGACCAGCAGAAACCAGAAATGGGAATGTGAATGTGCACTGACCATGTTGACTTTGTGCATGCGCTTCAGGGCTGCTGTAAAAAAAAAAATAGGAAAAGTTAGAGCAACCAAGACCAATTTTGAAAAACATGGGCACATCAATATTGTTTTAAGACCAACTTGAAAAATCTCCAACCTATTCTTTAAGTTCAATGCTCCTTCTTGGGTAATCTGTGTTTTTATCCTGCCCTGCCT